AAATATCAACTCAAAATGGGGTAAAGACTTACATGTAAGACCAGAAACAATAAAACTACCAGAAGAAAACATAGGGGGAAAGCTCCATGACATTGGTCTGAAAAATGATTTTTTAGATATGAGCCCAAAAGCACAGGCAACAAAATCAAAAGTAGACAAACAGAATTGCATCAAAATAAAAAGCCTCTGCACAGCAAAGCAAAAAATCAACAGAGTAAAGAGACAACCTACCCAGTGGGAGAAAATATCTACAAACCATACATTTGACAAAGGGTTAATATCCAAAATATATAAGGAAATCCAACAATTCAATAGTGAGAAAGCAAATGACCTGACTAAAAATGGGCAAAGGGCCGGGTGCAGAAGCTCACACCTGTAATCCCAGCACTTTGGGAGGCCAAGGCAGGCAGATCACGTGAAGTCAGGAGTTTGAGACCAGCCTGGCCAACATGGTGAAACCCCGTCTCTACTAAAAATACAAAAATTAGCCGGGTGTGGTGGTACACGCCTGTAATCCCAGCTACTGGGGAGGCTGAGACAGGAGAATTACTTGAACCCAGGAGGCAGAGTTGCAGTGAGCTGAGATCCCAATACTGCACTCCAGCCTGGGCAATAGAGTGAGACTCAGTATCAAAAAAAAAAAAAAAAAAAAAAAAAGGCAAAGGGCCTGAATAGACATTTCTCAAATGAAGAAATGACCAACAAGTATACGAAAAAATGCTCAATTAAAGCCATAATGAAACATCACCTCACATCTGTTAGAATGGCTACTAATAGACAAAAGATAATAAGTGTTGGTAAGAATAAGGAGAAGAGAGAACCCTGGTCCACTGTTGGGATTTTCAGTTAGTACAGCCATTATGGAAAATGGTAATTTCTTTAAAAATCAAAACTCTAACTACCATTGAAGACTCTTCTGTGGTACTAAAAAGAAAAAAGTAAAAACAAAAAAAACCAAAAAACAAAAAATAGAAGTACTATATGACCCATCAATCTCACTTCTGGGTATATACCTGAAGGAAACAAAATCATTAAGTCACAGAGGTGTCTGCACTCCCATGTTCATTGCAGCACTGTTCACAACAGCCAAGATATGAAATCAACCTAAGTGTTGGTCAAATAATATAAAATTTCAGTTAGAAGGAATAAGTTCAAGCGATCTATTGTATAACATAAAGACTATAGTTAATAATGTATTGCATGCTTGAAAATTGCTAAGAAAATAGATTTTATGTCCAGGCGCTGTGGCTCACGCCTGTAATCCCAACACTTTGGGAGGCCAAGGCAGGTGGATCATGAGGTCAGGAGTTTGAGACCAGCCTGGCCAATATGGTGAAACCCCATCTGTACTAAAAATACAAAAAATAGCTGGACGTGGTGGCGTGTGCCTGTAATCCCAGCTACTGGGGAGTCTGAGGCAGGAGAATCACTTGAACCCAGGAGATGGAGGTTGCGGTGAGCTGAGATTGTGCCATTACACTCCAGCCTGGGCAACAAGAGCAAAATTCCATCTCAAAAAAATAAAAAAAGAAAAAGAAAATAGATTTCATGTGCTCTTACCACACAAAAAATGATAAGTACGTGAGGTAATATATGTGTTAATTAGCTAGGTTTAGCCATTCCACAATGTATACATATATCAAAACACCATGTTGTACCCTACAAACACATACAAGTTTTATTTGTCAATTAAAAAAATAAAAACAGACCCAGTCAGGAGAAAAAGTTCAAAAAAGGAGTTTATACTATTAATTTCACTAGGGCCTCAGAGGAGACGTAGTATTTTAGTTCTGAACTTAAAAACATGTGAAATTAGGGGTTCTAGAAATAAATATTTAGCCATTTTCCTAGTTGTCTTTTTGTAAAGGTTAACAGTATCATACTGAATTAAATTTAAAGTGAACATATTTAATCTGTTTGTTAAATAATGTAAAGAAAAACAAAAATATAATGAGAGAAATGGAAGGTATTCTTAAAAGACCAAAATGGAACTTCTTGGGATGAAAAATATATCTGAAATGGGAAATACACTGGATGGAACTTCTGCCTCTGGGAGGATGGGGTAATGTATTTTCACCACTCCTAGAACAACCATAAACCCTGGAAATTATTTATTAAACATAAGAAGACTTTGAAAGGTGGAGAAAAGAAAGCAGACTGGATAGAAACCTCAAGACCCAAGAAATACCACAGTGGTGAGTTCTCTGAGTTTTCTTTCAGCTTCATTTATTCGACACTTGGAGCTGAAGAAACCAGCAACCAGGAAATGCCAATGGGCACAGACCAAAAAGAAAAAGAAAAGCTCCAACAAAAGCCTGTTTCTGCTAGCCAAAGGCAAGGGGCAGTCTGTAAGACAGGAACTTTTAGCCATACTACAGGGTGCCTAGATTAAACTTTATTCTGGCTGGTCTGTGAGGTGTTTCTGGATGAGATTAGCTTTTGAATCTATGGACTCAGTAAAGCAGATTACTCTCCCCAGTATGAGTGACGTCATCCAATCTGTTGAGGGCCTGAATAGAACAGAAAGGCAAAGGAAGGACAAATGTCCCTGTTTTGCTTCCTACCTGCCTGCTTGAGCTGGGACATCAATCTTCTCTTGCTCTTGGACTGGAATTTACACCACTGGCTCCCTTGGTTCTCAGGCTTTCAGACTCAGACTGACATTACACCACGGACTTTTCTGGGGCTCTAGTTTGCAGATGGCAGATCATGGGATTTCTCAGCCTCCATAATCACTTGAGCCAATTTATACATATATTCCATTGGTTCTGTTTCTCCAGAGAACTCTACTACAGTGGCCCTACCCCAACCCATGCCAAAACTAAGTGGGAAGCCTAGACTTCCACTCTCTCAAGGTTGTAACAGGCCACCCCAATACCCTCACTAGAGTGGTGTCACACAAGGCCAAGTAGGGAACTGGGACTTTTGTCCCAGCCAGCCAGTAATGAGCCCTCCTCTCTGTGAGCGTGGTGGCAATAAAGACCGTGGTGTCCGTGGGGAACCTGGACATCCATCTGGCAGAAATGAGGTACCCCTCTGCTTTCCTGCTCGGTTGGTATCAGAGGAGGCCTAGTAGAGTCAGGACCTTAACCATCACCCAGAAGTAATGAGGCCACCTCTACCACAGTATCAGGAGAGACCACGTGGGGCTGGAACAAGCAGCCCCATCCAGCAGTAAGGAGGAGACCTGTCCCGCTTGAGTGTCAACAGAGGTACAAAGGGAAATCTGAACTTCTCCCTTCAACTGGCTGCAATGAAATGACACCCCCTCTCATGCCAAAGCAGTGACAAAGTCAGTTAAAATAAAATTTTTAAATTAAGATCCAAAGTTTTATAACATAATACAAAAATGTCCAGATCTCAAACTGAATGAAAAAATACAGTAGATGTCAACACTGAGATGGCAGCCATATTAGAATATCTGACAAAGATTTTAAGGCAGCTATGATAGAAATGCTTCAAGAAGCAGTTCTGAACACACTTGAAAAAAAGTTAAAAATATACAACTTCAGCAAAGAAATAGAAGGTATAAGGAAGAAGCAAATAGAAATATTAAAACTGTAAAATACAATAACCAAATAGAAAAGCTCAGTGGATAGGCTCAATGGCAGAATAAAGAGAACAAAGGGAAGAATCAGCATACGGTAAAACAATAGAAACTACTCGATCTGAACAACAGAGAAAATAGAGTGGAAAATGAATAGAGCCCCAGGGACCTGAGAGACTAACAAGAGATTTAACACTCCTGTGGCTTCTGTCGCTGGAGTCCCAGAAGAAGAAACAAAAGAGGGCAGGGCTGGAAATGTACAGCAAGAAATAATGACTGAGAACTTCCCAAGTTTGTCAGGAGACATAAACATAGTGATTCATATACATAGTGATTCAACAAGATGAGGAAGGCTCCGTACAGTGGTTCATGGCTGTAATCTCAGCACTTTGGGAGACAGAGGAAGGCAGACTGCTTGAGGCCAGGAGTTCAAGACCAGCCCAGGAAACATGCTAAAACCCCATCTCTTAAAAAAACCAAACCAAAAATAAACAAACACACACACACACACACACACACACAATTAGCCAGGTATGGTGGCATGCACCTGTGGTCCCAGCTGTGAGAGGATCATTTGAGCCCAGGAGGTCAAGGCTGCAGTAAGCTTTAATCACACCATGGCACTCTAGCCTGGGCAACAGAGTGAGACTCTGTGTCAAAAAAAAAAAAAAAAAAAAAAGAGAGAAAAAGAAAAGAAAAAAGAAAAATAAAAAGAAAAAATGCTGAGGAAACCTCAACCAAGATAAACCTAAATAATCTGTGCCAAGCATGTTAAAATTAAACTTCTGAAATCAGACAAAGAAAAAATCTCTTGAAAATGTCACTATAAGGAAACAAACAATTCAATGACAATGGATTTCTCATCAGAAATCATGGAAGTCAGAAGGAATTGGTACAATATTTTTCAAGGGCTGAAGGAAAATAACGGTCAACTCAGAATTCTATACCCAGAAATAAATAGAATTCTATACACAGAAAGAAAAATCCTCCAGGAATGAAGAGGAAACTAAGATATTATCGGAAGTTTTCTTAGGAAAACAAAAAGAGTTTGTCACCAGTAGACCTACTCTAAAAGTGGCTGAAGGAGATTCTCTAAATGGAAAGGAAACAATGAAAAAAGAAATCTTGGAACGTTAGGAAGAAAAGACACAGCAAAAAATATGGGTAAAATCAATAGACGTTTCTTCTATCGAATTTTCTAAACTATGTTTGACAGTTGAAGCAAAAATTACAACACTGTCTGATTTTATTCTAAAGGTATGTACAGGGAATGTTTTTAGAAATTATAAATTAGAGAGGGAACGGAACAAAGAGAGGTAGGGTTTCCATACTTCACTCATACTGGTAAAATAATAACAACAGTAGGCTGTAATAAGTTATGTGTATATATAATATAATACCTAGAACAATCAATAAGAAAGCTATGCAAATATACTCAAAAACATTGTAGAAAGTGCTCACGTCAGCAGCACATATATTAAAATTGAAAGGATAGAGAGATTAGCATGGCCTTTATGTAAGGATAACATGCAAATTTGTGAAGGGCTCCATATATTTTTTTATATTTTATTTTATTTTATTTTATTTTATTTTATTTTATTTTTGAGACGGAGTCTCGCTCTGTTGCCCAGGCTGGAGTGCAGTGGCTGGATCTCAGCTCACTGCAAGCTCCGCCTCCCAGGTTCACGCCATTCTCCTGCCTCAGCCTCCCGAGTAGCTGGGACTACAGTCACCTGCCACCACGTCTGGCTAATTTTTTGTATTTTTAGTAGACACGGTGTTTCACCGCGTTAGCCAGGATGGTCTCGATCTCCTGACCTCATGATCCGCCCGTCTCGGCCTCCCAAAGTGCTGAGATTACAGGCGTGAGCCATCGCGCCTGGCCCATATATTTTTTTAAATGCCATAGATAAATCAAAATAGAATTCTAAAAAATGTTCAAGTAATCTTTAGGAGGTAGGGAAAAGAAAACAAAGAAACCAAAATCAGAAAAAAACAAACAAAAACAAAAATTGGCAGACTTAAGCCCTAACATACCAATAACTACATAAAGATTAGTAGAATGAATTAAAAAGCATGACCCAAACTATGTACTCTCCACAGGAAACTTACTTTAAATATAATGATATAGGCAGGTTGAAAGTAAAAGGATGGGGAAAGTTATATCATGCAGACATTAACCAAATTAGCTGGGCTTGGTGGCAGGCACCTGTAATTCAGGCTACTCAGGAGGCTGAAGCAGGAGAATCACCTAAACCTCAGAGGTAGAGATTGCAGTGACCCGAGATTGTGCCACTGGACTCCACCCTGGGTGACAGAGTGAGACTCTGTCAAAAAAAAATCCACACATGGTGGCTTACACCTGTAATCCCAGCACTTTGGGAGTCCAGGGCAGGCAGATTACTTGAGGTTAGGAGTTCAAGACCAGCCTGGCCAACATGGTGAAACCTCGTCTCCACTAAAAAAACACAAAAATTAGCCAGACATGGTGGTGGGCGCCTGTAATCCCAGCCACTCAGGAGACCGAAGCACAAGAATCGCTTGAACCCACGAGGCCGAGGTTGCAGTGAGCCAAGATGGTGCCACTGCACTCCAGCCTGGATGATGGAGTGAGACTCTGTCTCAAAAAAAGACAAACATTAACCAAAGGAAAGCAAAAGCGGCTATGCAGATAAAGTAGACTTCAAAGCAAAGAAAATTATCAGAGACAAAAAGGATCATCATATAGTGATAAAAAGGGTCAATCCACCGATAAGACATAATAATCCTAAATGCACCAAACAAAGGAGCTGAAAAATGTGTGAGGCAAAAACTAATGGAACTCAAAACAGACATAGACAAATCCACAATTATATTTGGAGACATCAACACCCCTCTATCAACAGTGAATAGAACAACTAGACAGAAAATCAGCAACTATACAGAAGAACTCAACAATATCATCAAACCAACAAGACCTAATTGACATTACATAGAACACTACACCCAACAGCAGCAGGGTACACATTTTTGAATGCTCTCACAGAACATACACCAAGGTGGACCGTATCCTAGACCATGCAACAAATCTCAACAAATTAAAAAGGATTGCACTATACAATATGTTCTCTGACAACTATGGAATCAAATTAATAATAGAAAGATCGGGGCCAGGAGTAGTGGCTCACACCTGTAATCCCAGGACTTCAGGAGGCCAAGGCGGGTAGATCACCTGAGGCCAGGAGTTCAAGACTAGCCTGGCCAACACGGTGAAACCCCATCTCTAATAAAATACAGAAATTAGCCGGGTGTGTGGTGGGCACCTGTAATCCCAGCTACTCGGGAGGCTGAGGCAGGAATTGCTTGAACCTGGGAGTTGGAGGTTGCAGTGAGCCAAGATCACGCCATTGCACTCCAGCCTGGGCGACAAGAGTGAGCGAAACTCCGTCTCAAAAATAAAGAAGATAGGAGGAAAATTTTCAAATACTTAGAAGTCAAACAACACATTTCGTAAAAACCCATGGGTCCAAGAGGGAGTTTCAAGGAAATTTTTAAAAAATATCTTGAATGCCCTGAGTGCAAAGGCGCAAGCCTGAAGTCTCAGCTTCTCAGGTGGCTGAGACAAGAGGATTGCATAAACCCAGGAATTCCACTGGATGATTTAAGAAAAAAAAAGAGTTTTGAAATACATTGAACTGAATAAAACTGAAAACACAACATATCAAAATTTCTGTCACACAGCTAAAGCAGTGCTGAAGGAAAAAATATAGCATGAAATGTATACATTAGGAAAATCAAAAAGTCCAACATCAATAATCTAAATTCTCACCTCAAGAACTTAGAAAAAGAAGAGCAAACTAAACCCAAAGCAAGCATGAGCAAGGAATAATGAAGATACCAAAAAAAAAAAAAAAAAAAAAACACCAGGAAATCAATGAGATTTATTTTTTAAAAATCAATGAACAAAAATCAATAAAACAAATAACTTTCTTTGGAAAAAATTATTAAAATTGGCAGGCCACCAGCAAAACTGATGAAAAACAAAAAGATACAAATTACCAATATCAGGAACGAAACAACCTATCACTATAAACATCCAAAGGATAAGGGAATACCACGGATCTATATGCGTAAATTGACAACTTAGACAAAATGGACCAAACCGAAAAACACAAATACCACAATAAACCCAATATAAAATATATAATTTAAATAGCTCTGTAACTATTAAGGAAATTAAATTCATAATTTAAAACTTCTCCCACTCCCTAGGAAAGGAAATCTCCAGTCCCAGATAGTTTCACTAGAGAATTCTACCAAATGTCTAAAGAAGAATTAACACCAATTCTACCTAATAGAAATAGAGGAGGAAAGAACACTTCCTGCTTCATTTATGAAGCCAGTGTTACCCTGAGCGGGAAAACGACAAAACAGTATAAAATAAGTACAAACCAAAATCTCTCATGAGTATAGATGCAAAAAGCATTAACAAAGTATCAGTAAACAGATATCAGTAACATATAAAAAGCATTACACACCACACCCATCTTATTCCAAAGATGCAAGACTGGTTCAATATTCAAAAATCAATCAATGTAATCCATCAGACTAAAACTCTAAAGAAGAAAATCACAAGATCAAATCAAGTAATGCAGAGGACTCATTTGACAAAATAACACCCATTTGTGATTTAAAGAAAAAAACAACTCTCAGAAAAATAAGAATACAGAGACACTTCCTTAACTTGACAAAGAGTACCTGTGAAAAGCTTACAGTTAACATCACACTTAATGGTGAAAGTCTGAATGTTTTTATATTCAACATAGTGCTGAGGTAGTACAAAGGTACTACCTCAATTCAATCAAAAGGTACTACCTCAATTCAATTTTTTAAAAAATCAATTCACTGGAGGAAAGCTAGCCTTTCCAACACATGATGTTGCAGCAACTGGACAGCCATAGGCAAAAAATGAAACTCAATCTAATACTTTCTACAAAAATTAGCTCAAAATGGTTAAATACTTAAATGTAACATGTAAAACTATAAAACTTATTTTTAAAATAGAAGAACACTTTCAAATTCTAGGATTAGACAAAGAGTACTTAGATATGATACCGAAAGCACAATTCATGAAAAGAAAAATTGAGATTTTGGACCTTATCAAAATTAAACTTTTGCTCTTGGAAAGCCCATATGAAGAGGGTGAAAAGACAAGGTACTGGGAGAAAATATTTGCAAATCACATATCTAACAAAGTACCAGTATCTTCAGTATATTTAAAAAAGAAAAACCCTCAAACTCAACAGTAAAAACAAAACAAAACAAAACTGCCTGTAATTCTAGCACTTTGGGAGGCCAAGGTAGGAGGATCACTTGAGGCCAGGAGTTGGAGAACAGCCTGGATAACATAAGGAGACTCCATCTCTACAAAAAATTTAAAAATTAGCCAGGTGTGGCAGTGCACACCTGTAGACCCAGCCGCATGGGAGACTGAGAAAGGAGGAACACTTGAGCCCAGGAGTTCCAGGTTATAGTGAGCTATGATCATGCCACTGCACTCCAGCCTGTGCAACAGAGTGAACCCCTATCAAAGAAACACAACAAACAAAGAAAACCCCACAAACAATCCACTTAGAAAATGGGCAAAAAACATGAATATATATTTCACCCAAAAGACTATTCAAGCATATGAAAAGATGCTCAACATGATTAGCTATCAGAGAAATGTAAATTAAAATCACAATATGTTACTACACACCTATCAGAATGGCTGAAATAAAAAAAAAGCAACAGCAGCAAATCCTGCTAAAAATGCAGATAAACGGGTCATACATTGATGGTAGCAATGCAGAATGAGGTAGGAACTTTGGAACAGAGTTTGGCAGTTCCTTACAAAGTTAAAACATATACTTACCATTTAACACAGCAATCCTATTCCCAGATATTTACCAAAGAGAAATGAAAAGTTACTAATGATATGTTAAAGTTCATAGGAGTTTTATTCATAATAGTCCCCAAATGGAAACAATCCAAACATCCATCGCTGCTGCAAAAACAATGGAATACTACCCAATAAGAGAAAGGAGCAAATAAATGATATGTACAACAGTGATAAACCTGAAAGTGTAATGAAAGAAGTTGAACACAAAAGACTACATGCTGTATGATTCCATTTATGTGAAATTATTTAAAAAGCAAGACCATAGTGGCAATTTATCAGTGGTTGCTAGGGGCCAGAGCTGTGGATGGGAATTGACTGCAGAGGGAAATGAGCAGTGGTGTCCCGGGAAATGTTTAACAACTGGCTCTTGGTGGAGAGGGAGCCCTGGTTTGTAGCATTTGGTGGTTTCCATGGTGTAAATACTCCTCCATTGCCAATTTCAAGTTACCGATGTGACGTGACTGATCATTTAGTAGAGAAAAGAGGCTAGTTAACAGCTGGATCTCACAAGGTGGCATAAATGGGATCCAGCCCACCACTGGCCACAAGGAAATTTGGGGGCATGATGGAAATGTTGCATATCTTGTGTTAATGGCTGAACAACTGTACATATCTGTAAAACTCATTAAAGTATACA